GATGCCCTCGCCAGTATTCGAACTCTGGACCTTCTAGTTGCTAGCTGGATGTAGTTACACTGCGAAGACACACGATAAGGAAGGAAAAAGTTCCTTCCATTTGGCTTTTGTTTGGCTTGTAATTTTTGGGAAAACATTTAAAGCTTTATAATTTGGTATGGAAGACGGTGACTTAAATTTTTTGAAGAAGCTATCTGCATTACAAATATTTCAGTACCAACTGATATTTTGTGTCGTTTATCATATCATTAATTTAAAATATCAAAAAATACCAACTGATATTTTTTGATATTTTGTGTCGTTTTATGGTTGTACTTCGTTTATGGTTGTACAATCTGTTAATGTTATTTTCTTTAATGCCTCTAATGTAGGTAACACATTAAGAATGTTTTATCATAAATAATAAAACCTCATATGTGTTCATCTGTGTATGTGTGTTAATCGTGCGGATCCTTTTATTTATGTTCGCTAATCATAAATTGAATGCTTATGACTGTTTTTGTTATGATTAAAGTTTATATTTATTTGCTTCAACATAATAGGTATTATTTAGCTTTCTATTATAAGTGTTTACGTTTTTTGGTGTATGCATGCTCTGGGTTTGCATTTCGTCGATTTCCAGTTTTCGACAATGTTCTTTTCCTTAACATGTGGAATGAATGAAGTATTTTGGCTAGAAGATTGTGGTTTGATGAGTTATGCAATGAAAATTAGTTCAGATATTAGTTGCTAATTTTCCTTGAATGATTAATTCGTGTAGTATTATTCTGTAAGTCTTAGTTCTTTTGAAAAATAAATTTCCTCGCATCGTCTGAGCAGCAACCAAAAGTAGATCACTTGGTTAATGCTCCTGCCTTATATGGACAGTGGAATCTCGAGATGAGTGGCAGGTGGTCCTGACGTCAACATGGAATCTTATTCCTGTGATTTATTATTATTATTTTCTTATCTCCGTTATTTAGGCAAGAAGGAAGTGCGGAAGTGAAATATGCTGCAGTATATTTATTCAAAAATCGCACACGTGGGATTCTCGGAAAGAATTTAGTAATGCCTTATACTAATGTTTATATAGTATAATTGCGATATATAAAGTTTTTTAAAATTGTTTTGAGATGAACTGGGAACTATCTGATAGGTCGTGCTAATTATAAAAAATCGGCGATTAACAATAATTTTGTGTCACGTTTGTAACTTGAAAGGAATGGGCTAACTACGCATAGAAGGTTTCTTTGCCATAACTATTTAAAAAGATTTCTTTTAAACCTTAAAAAGTTAACCTTTTCTAACCCTAAAAATGTTTCTAAACGTGATATTTTACAAGGGAAGATAGGTGTGATGATTATATATGGTGTGATTGATATATGGGCTTACTATGTAGGAAGTATTTTAGTTTCAAAGCTCAAGTACAGTAGTGCGTCATATAGCAAACATCTTGTGTTATCAGATGGGCGCGAATTTGTCACAAATTAATCACGGAGCTAAATTTGTTTTATTTTAATGCGCGTAAATATAGGGTATGGGCATACGTAAACGAAGACAGTAAGTATAGTATAAGAGGCATATTTATATATTTCTTAATATTATTTTGTCGTTGAAGGACGGCAAACCGTGAGACCAGAAATATGAGAAAACCCATAGGAAGTTTATGGTAAGGAGGAACGGACCACTGATTTCACATTTCTCAAGGCGAAAATTTATTTAATTAGAAATAGAAAGAGGTCTCCCAATAAGCTGAGGGCCCACCAGCGGCCGAGCGGTAATGTCGCTGAACACTGGTAGTTCGGTCCGAGGTTCGAATCCCGCGAACGGGCTGGCTGCATGGGTGTTTTCGTGGTTTTCCCCATGTGTAACGTGTATACGAGCCAGTTTCCCTTAGAAAGTCCTCCACGAAAGGCATCCCTCCCCTTAGGCAGATAGCCCTAGTGTGCTTTGCCATAATTAAATACACCAACACCAACCCAATAAGCTGAAATGAAAAGAGTGGCGGATATATTGAATGGCAATGCTCTGCATTGTTTCAAGACCAACCTAATGTAATTTCTAAAGCGTTTTAGACAACTTAAAACTTGGAGCGACTGTCTTCCCCCAACACCAAAGGTAGATGTGTGTAACAAGGTGAAGGAAAACTGATTCATCTCCGTTGGAAGAGTGGGAAAACTGGAGACTGCCTATGTAAATAATAATTATTTTTCAACTAACAAGTTGATAAATTTCCAACATGAATGGCATTTTTAATATCACTGAATTTTCTCTCTTCCTCTTCTCTCTTTATTTATTTTATTTTTCTCCCTTACAGTATTTCGTGATTTTGGACCTATTTTCAGGAAAGGACTATTCACATAAGTAACCTTTGGAAAACACGTGTGTTGCGCGTGAAAAGCACGCTTGTCATGCGGGGCATCAATGTACCACATTTTGAGTAAAATTCTTTTTAATAAAAAGTTAAGTCTTAATATGCAGATTTGACTAGAATTTCTTGGCATATTTGAAAAATTAATTTCCAAAAAAATATAAATAATAAAATCGCAAAGTTTACAGATGTTATTACAGAAATAAATTTTAAAAAAAATCTTCATACGGTTTATCGCTCAAACTGGATGTAACCGTATATAGTACGTGGACTTTATTTTATATATGGACTTTGTGTAACGTATACTAACAAGAAGAAATATATGGACTTTGTGTAACGTATATAACAAGAAGAAATCATGTTGGTCGAGAACTAGTAACTGTTCTAGATCTGACTAGAATAGGCCTCCCGTTAGACTCCTGCTCTCGCCGCCTAATTCCATTGAAGAAATGCCATTATAAGTATTTTGTCGCAAAGTTATAATTCGACGCAAATGAGAAATTCGAAGGGAAGGTAGAAAATTTCATTGCCCTCAAATGAACTTTTTTTCTGGATAACCGGTTCAAGCGGGCGGATCTTTTAATTACTTTTAATAACATCAGTAAAATTAATTGTTCTGGTAGCTTTTGTATAATCTAGAATGAATTAAAAAAAATTCATCAAGGGTGTTTGGACCACATTGTAAGTAAATATTAGGTGGTGCACATAGGACGGGTATGATTGCCAGAAGGGTATTTTTAAAGGGGAAGACCCACTATCTTACATTTGGTCCGTTATGGTGTAGCTTATCTACGCAACAAAGTCCAACTTTTCTTTATAATATCTACTTAGTATTCATCCTTTTACAGCACACAACAACATAAAGTGAACACTTACTTCCCAGCGCGTTTTTAAGAATGCTTTTCAGCGTACACCCACGTAGAATAGCTAACATGACTGCTTTTGGAAACGGGGTTTTTTATCGCAGAGGATTGATGTGTTTATTATTATTATATCCGTCGCCGTTTACTGTGGAAGACTACTCGTTGTAATTGGTGAAATGCTGTAGTGTCGATTTTTAAGTGGATTACATGTACTTATTTTCCAAGGTTAAAATAACTGGGAAGAGAGTTCACACATATTCCTAGAATAAGAATAAACAAAATAGGGGAAATCTTATTTCTGTTTTACCATTGGAACTGTAATGTCTGTATATATTCTGTGAATAAATAATTAATTAATGAACTTTTCATTTCTGTCTGCAGAAAAAGCGATATAATAATTTTCCCTCTACGTTTCTTTTACGGATGGATACCTTCAGGTATACCGTAGAAAGTCAGTATTTTGACATATTTTGAAAAAACGTATTCACCTATTTATTTATTGAATGCTATTTTTCTTTTTTATTGATTGGAACGGAAATTTAGAAAGCTGTGTTCATAGACACAAGCTTTCAGAGAGCTATTACCATCTGGTTTAAAATAATAATAGTAAACAAAAGTACGAATCTTCATTCTGTATTCTTTTTTAAGGAGTAAAAAGTTTATTTTTGTTTTTTAAATAAAATTCGTAAAAATTTGAAGTCCTAGAATGAAAGTTCACTACTGATCTATAATTTTACTTTCCCACCGAACCATATTTACTGAAAAATTAGACAGTTTTGTTGCATTCGTCCTTAATTAGCTTAGAGGAGGAAGATAACAGATTTTTCAAATGTGAGGGATGACACTCTCCTTTAAAGAAAAACTTATTTCATTACGCTTTATTTTCAAACAATAAAATTTAGTAGTTCTTATTATGAGCATTTAACCACTCATAATAAGAAAATAATTAATTATTTAGCACTACTGCATTTAAAAAGAAAATATACTTTACGTTTTTTCCATAATTATTTATTTGACGAATTTAACTTTTTACATGGCAGAGCGTGCTAGAAGCCACAAAAATTAGATTTATTGATTCAGACAAAGCAACTTGAAGATTATTTAGCTGCGAGGATACATACCTTCGTGGAGAACTTTTTAAGGGAAACCGATTCGTATCCACATTATACACGCGGAAAACCACAAAAAACTGCGAAAAGCCCGTCCGCCAGGATTCGAACACAATAGTCATCGACTTTACCGGTTGGCCGTTGGAGGTCCTGCAAGAAGCCACAGAGTACTAGTGGTCCTAAAAGGATTCAGCCAACAAAGTGGCTGAGTGGATAAGACTGCTGAACTGTGGTAATTCGAATCGTGGCGAACTGGTTAGCTGAATGGGTGTTTTCGTGATTTCCATTTTGTGTGACAAGAATACAAGCCAGTTTTTTTTTTTTTTAGTTCTTCCTCGAATATATACCATACGAGGGCTATTCATCATATTCAAATAAATAAATGAACAGTCATCCATATTCTTTTTCTAGTGGTTGAGCTGGCAAGCTAAAATATGAAATTTTGATTATTTTTCTGAATTGTAGCAAAAGTAATTTAGAAGAAACTTCAAGAACGCATTCTTGGTATATAGATGTAGTGTACTTTGGGTCATGATTAAATAATCTAGCGACTCTTCGCATTATTCGGCAAACTGGTAATACTTGCGGCTTTTTAGCAGTTTGTATTTTGTTGTATGTAGTTCTGCTTTTAACATATCTGAGTCAGTTTGAAAATAAATTTCCTTTCTTCCTTTTCAGACTTATTCTGGCCTCTTCTGTGTGGTAGTCAATCCTTACAAGAAACTGCCGATATACACGGAGAAAGTCATCGAACTATACAAAGGAAAGAAACGGCACGAAGTTCCACCCCACATATTTGCTGTGACAGATGGCGCTTACAGGAGCATGTTGCAAGGTGGGTAATGAATAAATTCTAAATTTTGATAATGGCGAAAGCGGGGCAAAAATATATATGAAAGAAATAATTATATATATATATATATAAAAAAAAAAGCAGTATTATGGTTGCAGCTGTACATTACCGTGTTTACTCGCCTAATTATCTCATCCTCCGTTTTAAAGCAGAAAAAATCGTCAAAAATGTCAAAGTATTATGTAGTAGATTTTCCCGCATAATAGTCGCATCCAGATTTTCACAACGAAAAATGGGCAAAAAAGTGCGACTATTTACGCGAGTAAATACGGTAATTCCAAAATAAGAGCTTTTACGTTGGTAATACTTCATATCTTTGTGTGAAACATTTGATTTGACGTTTAAATCACTCCTGCAGAACATTGCCATTTCTTCCATGAACCAGTATCTTGTTAACTGTTAGCTGGCATTTTAGTACAAAACTAAAGCAGCAGCTGGAAATATATTAGTAATACTGGGATTGCTTAAAAAGTAAGCTAAATATCCAGTCACCGACAAACCTTGCTGTCTGGATATCACGCTTCGAGGTGTCTTCAATTAACCTCTGGATCGATTCGCTAAAACAGATGCATTTATTCCCAGCATATTTTCAATTTTGCTCTTTGAATTTGATGCTGTGATTTTTTTTTTCCCTTACTTGTTATCAAGGCTGTGATATTTTTGTAAGGTAACCCAGCTTTGAAGAAATGCGATTTTAATATTGTGGAAGAGCGCAGAGATCACAGCGACAGTTCTTTCCGAGATTATTGATGATTTTTTTTATACGATATTTTAATTCCTAGTAGCCGTGGCGTTTTCTTTAAACCATCCAAATACTTTTTGGCTGAGTTGCAATTGTCTAACTTCTTTACCTCCTTTCTTTGTCATCGCTTTGAAGGACACCTTTAATTCCAGACTTAATTATGTTATATGCCTTCCGTAATTTCATTTTCACCAAGTGGGGTATTTTGCATTCTGCTGTTCGGAGTTAACACTTTACCGACCGCTAGCGGTTCAGCAGCATACGCACGTCCGACCGGCCGCTCAGCGGCAGATTCTCCCTGTTCTAAATAATTGTCAGAACAATCTGATAAATCATCTAAATAAAACACTCCAGTACCATTTTTTTTCGTTCATCGTGAACGGTAAATTTTCTGAAAACGGTATGAAAATGTGGGAGTTTACGAAGCAAGAATGCAAGTGAGCAATGTACCTCAATACTAATAATAAAATGCAGATGATATAGCAAATGGCAATTGCTTATCTCCATGGCTACCGATTGATAAGCTATTTTTAGGTAGCGCTGAGAAAAAAAGCGATTAATAGGCTCTTGATCAGTAGTCGTTGGCGATAAAAAGCCGATCAATAGGCGATCGGCCGGTAGAGTGTTAAGTCATCAGAATCACCCTGTCATTAATAACTTGATCAGTTTACCAACGAGTAATCGGATTATGACATATAGCGATGCTAGAAAAAGCTTTCCACAAAAACATGCCTTTAATGCTACAGTTTCTACTTGAAATGGTTGCGCTGAAAGCTAGGTTCCGGCTACGTACATCAGATATTTTGCGATGTTGGCGAAAATGACTCAGCTCTGTCTTGCGTAGGTTTCCGTGGGATTCAATTAGTCAGATATCTAGAAAGCAAAGATATCCGGAAATATTTCATTTGACGCTCGGTTATGGATAGCTTACAAGTCTGATATGGGTTTAGGAAGGCAAATATCATCATCTGTCTCTGCGCTAAGAAAGATAGCATGTGTGAGAAACTGCAAAGCACCCTCTAGCATTCTATGTGTGAAAAGTGTGTATTTGTTTTTGTTCAAATCTAAAAGGTAGCTCCTCCTTGTTTTGAAAACATTCCGTGTAAACTTATCCAAACTAAACGGCTGACATATTAAAAATAATTATTTGATATCTGTAAGTTAGATATCAAATTAAATTATTGCTAATAAATTTTCATTTATTAGCTAAAATCGCGGATGTGTGACTGACTGTATTTAAAAAAAAATAGTGATCGAAAATCTTACTGTCACGTCGACGAGCATATTTATTTAAATAAAACAATCATTAATATAAATTTCAACATATGGCATTTGTCATAATTCTTAGGACCTTTGACACGATAAAATCTAAATCATTTCCGATGTTCTTATCGTATTAAAAATGTCGCGAGTTGTTATGTAAGAAGAAGTTGTGTATATCCTGTTGTGACTAACATATTTTAGCGCGAAGGCAAGTTCAATTTAAAATGCGGAGTTTTAAAGGAGACAAATAAGTTTACACACAAGATAGTGTACATATAAAAAGATTATTGTGGCATTCGTGGTTGGAGTATACATTCCGTGTGGCCATGTGTAACAAGTCTGTTCTCCTTATAAAGTTCTTTCTCACGTAGGCATCTCTGCCATATAAGAGGAGGTCTTAGATTTTTCTAAACTATCTTACTCAGTAAAAGAGGTTCCCTTGATTTATAGTGAACCTCAGATTTTTTTCTTTGCACTGTTAACTGGTATTTTCTTTGCATTGGTAGGCACTATTTCAACTGAGCCGATAAATCAGCGATACTTGGTACTGGTAGTCGTTTGCTTAGAAAACAGAGGGGCGTTATTTTCTCTGGTGCTAAGGGAATCCAGAATTATGAGATTCAACGTTTCAGAAGGCACGTGTGAATGAAAAGATGCCTGGACGACGACAAAGTAGGCAGTTCTGGCAGACGTACGGTTTTATGAGTGGTTAGATACAGTAGGCTTACGTACGACTGATATTGGTCTTACCCTCGTATCGCTGCTGAAACGCATGTAGATGTATCCATTGTGCATAAAATTTGTTCTAGATGGATCGATGAAGGAAACTTAAATAGTTATAAAGACCAGGTCCATCTACACGTACTGCAGAACTTACAGATCGACGCATATGGAAAAAAGCGGTGATAGCCCCACGATCAACTACTGTGGACAATTTGCGGAATTAACAGGGGAGCTTTGGATGCTTTAATATCTGTGAAACTTCGCGACATTTGGCTGAAAGCAGCTTGCACACAATCCGCCGTTTGCGAAAACTGCCATTAACGCCAAATCATTGACGCGAAAGACTGCGATGGTGTCTTCAACGAGCCATTTGGACGAGTAGCGTCGAACCCGGGGATGGGCAAACTTTTTCGGTCGCGGGCCAAAAATCGAAAGAAAAAGGTTTGGCGGGCCAAGAAAATTTTTTCTGAAATTTTAAACACAATATACAAGAATAACAATTTAAATATGTTAATGAGATGAATGAAATTGCGATTTCATTTTTAAAAGTTCCTTATTTTGAGGTTCGAATGTGTATGTACTGATTCTAAGGAACGAGGCTAAAATGCTCATCTGTCAGTCTACGTTTTGAAATAATTATTTCTAAGGTTCATAGTTGACAAACTCTTGTTCACATATATAAAATGAAGCAAACATAGCACTGATTTTCTGGGCGTGAGATATTAAATTTGGGAAACTGACTTTCGATAATGATTTTCAAAACTCTAACTTTGGCATATTTAGGAACAACTGCTTAAGATGATTGTTAAATTGCAACTCAATTAATCCAAGCTGCAAATATGACCTCACTGCTTCACAGTTTGCGTTGAAAGGCATGGTAAAAGTTATTCAGTTCTCTTTGAATAGCACTGAAATCTGCGTTCGAATTCAAAATGCAGTTTTTTCAAGCAATCTTCAGCCCACCAGTGGCCGAGCGGTAAAGTAGCTGAACACTAGTAGTTCGGTTCGATGTTCGAATCCCGCGAACGGGCTGGCTGCATGGCTGTTTTCGTGGTTTTCCCCATGTGTAACGTGTATACGAGCCAGTTTCCCTTAGAAAGTCCTCCACGAAGGCATCCCTCCCCTTAGGCAGATAGCCCTAGTGTGCTTTGCCATAATTAAATACACCACATCAAGCCATCTTCATAATTCTTAAGCTTCTCTTCATTTACTGAGGGTGTAGAATTTAACATTGGGAATGAGACAAGTCGTTCTTAGCTAGCTGCCAAGCAAATAGATTAAGTTTTAAGTTAAGATTAAGTTTTTTCTAAGAAGTCTAATTCACCTGTATTGGATTCCCATATGTCTGTTCGAGAAAGAGATAACGCTTGTTGGCGCCAGTCTACAGCTATAACTGTCAAAGAACTTATGCTTTTAACACTTTACCGATTGAAAGCTTCCCGTCGATTTATGTTTTGTAGAACAAAAATAGGGAAAGTAAAAAGACCATCAATCCTTTGAAAAAAAAAAGAAAAAAATAGTATTTAAACAAAGTAGAAAACGAGATGGATATATAATATATAAATATATACTTCTTTTAATTTTCCTCGGACCGGCAAATTAAAAATCTATCCGCGGGCCGGATAGAAACTTCCGCCGGGCCGTAATTTGCCCATCCTTGGTCTAGACCTAACATGGTTTATGCTTCACGCATATGCAATAGGCATACTTTCAGCATGGTAACTTTCGTCGCTTAACCAAAGAACATCTATGTATGTTTGGCTTGGCGATGAATTCAAAATTCAGTCTTCAGCGATGCGTAAGTGAAGTGCTGCGGAATATGTGAAATTTGTTCACTTTCTGCCCAATTATGCGAGCAATTATTTACTGAGGACTTAAAAAAATGTATATGGGGAGCTTTGTGCCCAAATATGCGAGAATTTATTTATTGGGGACTCGAAAAAGCATATGGGGAGATAGACTTTATTCTTTTTTCACTCGCGTTGATGTTTATGAACTGCTTAAATTAATGCTGTAGGTTTTTGTAACGTGCATTAATCAATTAACTTAACCATATTTTACATTTATTTCCAAATGTATTTTTGTTTGATAGTTCATCTTATTTTAATATTATCATAAAATTTCTTTTCAAATTCATGCTTTCCACAAAGGCATGTCTCAGCCTAGGCAAATAATTCTTGAGCTTAACATAATCACTTATTTTAACCTCATTTTTCAAGTATGTTTTTTATTTCAGATTTCATGAAAGTTCATC